CGCCACATTTTTGGTGCCATGCTCAATGCTGGTCTCGGCGCCATGTTCAACACCATTTTCGGCGCTGAATTTGCAGCCATCAGCACCGTTTCCGGTGCACTATCAGCACTTTAAATACATGCATGCGCGCCGGTGTGCCACCATGTCATAATCATTGCCTTTATAGTTACTATATATGTTATTACAGTTGTATAAGGTCGCTGAAATGGCCTGTCTGCTGGTACAATGTTGTCGGCGCCGGTTGCCGGTGTAATATGTGCTGAACATGGCGCCGGCGTGCCGACCACTCATTGACATCCTGTGTATCACAGGTGCGCCGCCGGTCCGCGGACACGGTGTTATCGTGCCGTCCGCGGACGTCCGCTGGCACGACACTGTCGTTGAAATGGCCCGTCCGCTGGCACGACGTTGTCGGCGCCAGCTGCCTGCATATCCTGCGAGAGTGCTTGTGAACATACGTTCCTCCAGGATATCAAGACTTTCGTGGTCGACGTCTTTGGTCCGCAGACTTGCAGTAAGTTCGATCTGACGGGCTCGAAACAGCTGGTTCCATGATACAAACCAGAGCCACTGTTGCTGGACCTCGGGTGCTGCATGATGGGGAAACTCTGCGTCTTCACGGAGACTCCTGTCATGCAGTGAAGCATAGACAATTGCGGATGCATGGCTATGCGGCCACCCGTTGAACCAATCTTGGTGATCAACATCTGCGCCAGGTATGCTGCTAAAGATCCAGTTCGCAACCTGGGCTGCCATGCTCGCCGAAAAGGTTCCCCCGTGGACTGGAGGAACATCGTCTGGATGCTCGAATACCCACCTTGCCGCAGGCAGGTGTAGAAACTCAATGGGATATTTGCATTCACTGACCATCTGGGCCAGATCCTTTGCATAGGGCCATAGTGCTTGAGAAATGGATTCCTCTGGTTGGTATTGCCTGTCCAAGAAGTCACCAAGAGTGTTTTCATCGTTCTTGAGGTCAATATCCCAGGAATGCTGCCATCGGCCCAGCTAGTAATTAACATCAGCCTGGATGTCAGTCATAATTTATGCGCCAGGTGCGAGACTTACCCGTATCTGTCTTCGGGCTTTAGCTTCACCCCACAGGCTATCCACAAGATCTCCCTGAGCAACCGTTGCCTCTAGTTCTTGGACTGGTCGAGTAGGTTTGAAAATGTTACCCCGCCACCACTTTTACCCGCCAGTATGCATTTCCCATAAATTCTCTGGGCTGAATAAGACGGACAGGATACCAGTATTTTCCCCAGCGGGCCAAACCACCTTTGCCAGGCCTACACATAGAATTCAGTCAAAAAAATTGTGAAAAATAAAGCACATACTTGAGACGAGAAACCAAGTCTTGCTTGGCCCGTACTGCTCGCTTTGGTCTAAAGTGTGCTTAAGAGATATCCAGGGTAGATGAGGCCTCCTTGACTCACCTACATATGCGAGCACCAAGAAGATGTTTGATCTCTGAAGCAGAACAACCGTCACACTCAAATGATGCACGGGGCCCAAGATCACTAATCCAGCCATCGTGTTGACATGCAAGGTGAGACCAATTATGGCATGAGTCACAAAGGACAACAGGCTCGTTCACATTTAGCTTATGCCCATTACCCTCAAGCCCACAGCGACATGCAATAGGAAAAGGGGCAGATTGTGGCGGACTATGGTATGCCTCGGCAAAAGGATTGGTATGAACTGCATCTTCCACCTGTGGAGTTGTTGGTGCTGCCTCAAGAACTGGTGCTGACTGGAGTAGCGGCATTGCTAAAGGTAGGTCACCTTGTAAATCCTGTCCCGTTGCAGAAGCAGGCGAATCCACTCGCATGGTGTGCTTGTCATGGCGGGGAAGACCTGAGGTACTAAAAATTCCAGTAACAGGTTGGAGCTTTTTTTGTTTTTTGGTTCGAGCGGGAGTCACAGGTTCACTAAGAGGTTTGGCCGAACAGTAGTATTCCAAACTTGACCCCGCCTGGTGAGACCAAAAAATTTGACTGCCAGGAATTTGTGTGCCATGACTAGTAGACATGCTCCATGGCCGAGGAATAGAATCCTGAGCATCATTGAGCACTGCTGATGGAATATCTGACCTGACTCCATACTGATCTTGTAGTATCGCAGTTTGGTGCCTGGCATAGTATCGCTGAGCCAACGTGCCTCCTTCAAGACGGTAGAACAGTGCACAAGTACGAGTAGACTTTGAAATTTTCAGGTTGGTATCTGTGCCAGAAAGATGCTTCTTGATAGACGACTGTGAGATAACAAATGCTGAGCCCCGATCCTTGCCATCATAGCGATATACTTGTCCACCTGGTGTAAGACCTCGCCCAGTAAAGTGGTTGCCTGAAGAAAACACCCGGCCACACAGGCGATATACCAGGTGGTGATCTTGCTCTGCCTGCTTGGATAGAGGTCTAAGTGTCGGAGGACAACTCCACTGTGGAGATCCAGGGTATAAAGCAGCTTCATGGGTTGAATCAACTAACTCGATCACAAGGAGGACAGGAATGTGAACATATATCTCTTGCAATGTGGCCTGTCCCTGACATCCTGCATGGTCAATTGCAGTACCATCGGACCTTGACTGGCACCAGCAGCATGTCAAAGGTTTTGCCACAGGCTTTGAAAATCTGTCAATAAACCATGATTTGATGTCTCCATTGAATTTTACAGCCAGGGAACGATCAAGTTGGTAGAGGAACGACAGCCGGGGAAGCACTGGTATCTGCCAGTGCTTTGACCGAAGAAGATCCAGAGTATTCCCAGAGTGACCGGTGCATGAGCGAATAAGCAATGAGTGAGCCTGGAAATATGCATGTAGGAAAGTGGGCTCTCGTCCTCGAGGATAGCCTAGCAAGGATTCCAGCCAACCCTGACAAACAATGTTTCGTACGAGTTGCTTAGTGTCAGAAAAAAAATTATGCTGATGTACTCACAAACAGAGTGCCAAAGCCATTTAGTGACTCTATGATGCCAAGGTCCATCAATTCTCGACGAAGGGTGTTTCGCTGCTCAGACAGTATTTGTATCTTTTCAGAAAGTGGTGATGAATCGCTTAATGTGCTTCGTATATGTATGGCATTGGCCAAGATCTGCATAGGATCCTCAGCTCCGAGGTTTTCAGCACTGATTCGAGGCTGAAAATCAGTGTTATAATCTCCAAGATAAATACCACAGGAACTAAGCTCGAGTGTGGTATCAACCCAGCATGAGTTATCGATCCATGAAAATGAGGGTAGCCGTTCCTTGCTCTCCTGTGGCTGATTAATGTTGTCGAAGCAAACCTGTTTTGACTTAGGTATTGGTGCGGTAGTCTTGCTTTCAGGCAAAGGAGACTGGCTGGCTTTGGCCTCAAGATCTTCTGCAGTGTCAGGTGGAGCATAGTCAGCCCGATCAGGTTCAGAGTGCGAGATTTTCTGCAGAGGATCACGTCCTGGTTTGGCGCGACCATATTGTTCCTGGTTATTTTTGTACTGATGAAGAGGTTTGTACCTCGTCATAACTCCACCTTGAGCTACATGTCAGCTTGAGAAAGCTTTGGGACTCCAAGCATTACTTACTTGACTCGGCTGCTGCACGGTGCTCCATCTTTGACACGAAGCCACGCAGTGCACGCCATCCAGGAATAAAATCGTGTTTCTTGCCACAGTGAGAATAAATCTTATGATGCATGGCCTCTTGAGCATTGGTGGTACTAGGGAGGCTATCCCATAGATCATCAGGAATGTGGGTGTGACTGCGAAAAAGCATTTGGACACGATCCGGATGTCGCCACCAGCTAAGCCAAGGTTCAATCCCAGGAAAGTCGTTCAGAATACCCTCAGCGATAGCTTCAAAATCCTCAACAGTACCAGCATGTAGCAAGAAATTGGCACGCTCTTCGAACGGCTGGCCTAGAGGATATGGAACTGCACTAGTAATTTTGCGAACTCGCTGAACAGAAGCTCGGAAGTGCTGTTGGCATCCTTTAAGTAGGGACCGGGCTGCCGTTTCAAGCTCGTTAACTGTGCGAATGTCTTCCTCTTGATCTTGCCAAAACTGGATAAAAGCACCGATAAACCCATTCCGTTCAGCTTGACTAAAATCAACGACCTATGGAATTTCCTGTGAGAACAACATTACAACAAAATGAAAAGCGAGAGTTTACATTTGCCATCAAGTGGTCCTGAATCTGCACACCAGTTTCACGAAGGCCAATGCTTAGAGTGTGAAAAAGAGCAAGAAAATGTATTCGATAGTGTTCTGCTGTTGCACCATTCGCATATGAAACAAGAGCAGGTATCCATTCTGAGAGTTTCTTGCAATAGACAGAACTTGTTATGAGAATGCTGTCACGATCACCCCAATAGCTATAGGAAGCATCAGACACGATTCCACCCTGTCGGTCCTCGGTATTTGCAAGCTGCGAGCGCATAAAACGAGTTTGACCTGAGACCACAGAAACAGAACTCAGCTGAGCGGTTTCATTGATGATAAAGCCTGGATGTTCGTTCTGAAACTCAACCCATTCAACTTGAAAAGGGCGAGCGAATGACTTTTTGTACAACTTTTGCTGATAGACAATCCTTGATGGATTGTCAAGCACTGACGATATTGCAGCTGTGGACTCTCGGGGACCATGCAGCCCACGTCGACCAGTCACTAGCTCAGCTGGGCCCACAGTGGGGTGCTCTTCAATTATGTGGTTGATCGAATTGGTCTCATGATAAGTGAGGTGTATTTTGCGGGTGAGACGAGGGTGCATATGAGTACCAGTGTTGCGAACATGCACACCATGCTTGTAGAACCACAGCTCCAGAGTTACATTACAGGGCCGATGGTACATAGTCTTTTTATCGCAGTTCTTACACAGTGCTGATTGTGCCTGTGCCCGAACCTTGCACAAAGGATCAGCAAGTGGACGAAGCATATATGGGCATCCCTGAGTGGAACATTTGATAATGCCATTACAGTGTCGTCGCCGAACTTTTCCTAGATGCCAGGCACTCGCATTGGCCTTGCCTTGATTACGAGGCCGACCCCCTGTATGGCAGGCCCAGTGATTCAAGAAGTTGCTGTGCGATGGATCATCTGCATCTTGCTGAGTGAGATCCTGCTCGAACTCGCCATTTGGCCAAAACTGCCAGAGTTGGCCACTCGGAAGTATGACACTGTCACAATCGACAGATGAAGGTGGTGGAGGTGGTGGCCCACTTGTTTGAGATTTTGCAAGACCTGATGCCAATGAGTTCGACAAAGGCACATGAGATTTGAGCGGTATATGGGTAGATGAATTAGCTTGCTCAGGTTTAACGGAGCTGTGGGTACACTAGCCATTCTATCTTCTGATTGCGAAGGTTTGCAAACATGAGAAGAAAATGCAGAGTTTCTTTCTTGGGATGACCAGGGTAAATGAACAACAGGCGAAGGGGGAGGCTGGCCAGTGAGCATGTATGGATACACCATTGGCATAACAAACTGAGGCTGAGTGGCACCCATAGGATATGGTATATAGCCTGGATAGGCTGGTGGCAGGGTGCTAGGGGGGGCAGGTGCAGGCGGACACGAACAAGTTTGAGGGTGAGCATGGACACTCGGACAGGCATGACACATCAAATTGGACTGGTGTGGGAAGTGTTGACGACTGGTACTAAGAGAGGATGAATTCGGAAAACCATGTAGCTGGAGTTTGACTGGAACAGGATTATATGAGATATTATTGAAGCATGATATAGCAGAAGACATACGATCAAGCCCCAGAGGATTTGTAGATGGCTCGCTACCAAGGTGGGGGCCACAACAGTGACATGCTGGAAAGGAGTATCATAAGTGTGTGCTGTCGCAAAAAGCTTCTAGATATCCTACCATCAATGGTGGTGTCAGCTGCATGTGAACTTGGTGCATGCAAAGGAGGCGAGGCAGGCTTTAAGGGGGTGCCAGCCATAGGTGGTGAAGGGGAAAGAGGCTTTACGAGGGAGCTCGGTGTTTCCTGATATTTTTTAGTATCATTTCAAGTTGGCGAATCAGTCAACGAACACTCACGGGTAACATATTGACTAGGGTGACATATAAGATACCCTTATTACGATATTAGTAGAGGATGAGCTATAATATGGGAGTTAGCTTGGCAGCTGAAGGAAGTAGGCACAATAACGTACTTCTAGAAAGACAGCTCGAGTAATACCAAGGATAAATTAAGCAGCCAGCGGGAGTCCTACACCACTATCCGAAACGAGTCCACACTAACCCCGGAATTCAGTGTAAACAACGAGACGGTAGCTGAGAGCTACTTGAGAATCACCACAACGGTGGAGCAGCAACTGTGAGACTATATCCAGGATAAAACACCCTGAACAGAGAGTCCAGCTCAAAAGAGCCCCGCCACTCAATCTCGTCTCGTTGTAGCGAGGTCAGAGGTCCCGACTTTAAAAGCCGATAGCAACTGGCGAACACTCAGGAAGAGTGACCAGGGAGGTAGGACTTGACAAGCGCACGATAATTCCACTGTCTACTGACAAATGGATCGCACTAAACACGCTTCACCTTGATCTACAGGAGTGGGCTGCTCCTGATGTGTACGATAGGGGGGCTTACTGCTTAACAATATCCTCGCCTGCCAGAGACCAGGAACCAGAGAACCAGAAGCCGAGAAGCCTGCCAAAGACCAGTAGAATAGCACCAAAGCCAAGAGCCGAGAGCACAGAGCCAAGAACCAAGAATCAAGAGCCAGAGACAAAGGTAACCTAGGGAAAGGGAAAGCAGGATGGAGTGGTGAGCAGAACCACTCGGGAGGACCAGTGTTAAGCAACTTACACTTGGGGAACAGTCTAATAGGCTTGAGCACGAGCTGTAGTATAATGCTGCTCCTGCAGCACGAGGTTGGAAGATAGTGGGGGTGACAGGAATGATTCGAATGTAGTTTAGACCAGATCTAGTCCACAAATTCGCATGAGATGGGTACACGCATTTAATGACAAGCCCTCACATTTGTGATAGCCTGAGGCCCAGCCTCCAGATCCAAGAATGAAATGCCCAGTGAACTGAGAGAGCGAGCAACAGTGTCTAGCTTGTCACTTAATCCACGATCCACCGACGATCCACGATCCACGATCCACGATCCACCGACGATCCACAATCCTCTGGTACGAACGACGGGCTTGAATTGGCCTGTACGTTTAGCTGAAAGCAACGTTGTATGTGACTGGTTTCTTGTGGTGACCTAGAATAGTGGTGGCGACTGATGGTTGTTGAAGCCTAAATTCTCGTCCCGGACCTAGCATCCGTGCCGCGATTGATGCCTACCAACGTTGAACTGCCATATAGCAAGCACTGTTTGTATGTTTTAGTACTAGTCATTGGTTTGTGATTAGTACCTTGTACACTTAAGTTTCCTACTCTGTATACAGGGGTAACATGATTTCTCGTTTCTTTTTCGGATTCCATGTCTTCGGACAGGGCACCTGGTGTTCTGTGTCCGAGTCTGCCCTCACGGCGGAGCGTGGGTCGGAGCGTGGGTGCGGGTGCGTGGGTGCGGCGAAATCCTATAGTCCG